TGTAGTTTCATACTGCAGGCTTTGTAAAGTCATACTGTCTTCAACTTTTTTCTAAGACAGTTGGGATCACAGTACTTGTTAACCTCTGAGTATAATGGGAGGATAAATGAAAATGTGGGACAGGATAGTATAGTGTGGTTTGAGTAAATAAATTATTTACAGTATATAATTTTGTATTTTTAAAATATTTTCTTAAAATAACCAGTTGCATTCTGCTCAAACATTTCACCTTTAAGGGAATTGTTCGTGGTGCAGTTTGGGCAAAATTCTGGCAATTCAGCCAACCATGCCTTTAGTCTTCAAAGAAACAGGAAATAGGCTATAGCTTAGCATTGTTCATTAAAATCCATAGCACTTATTCCTTTAAGAATCATTATTGTTCTAAATAGTGTCCTACTTTCAAACTGAAAAGTTAAACTAATATAAGTCCTGTGGGTCACAAGCAGTCATCTTGGTTTCATGGGAAGCCTTGCTACACTATTCACATTACTCCAGATTTGCTGCCTCAAGATGCATCTCTTCTCATTTACAGAAAACTGGTCAGGTACTATTTTGCCTCAAGGTAATTTTCATTATTTCAGTGAATTGATGGTCTGATGGTTCAGTTAAAAGTTAGTTTGCCTTCCTGGGAAATTATTTAAGCTGTTAAAAAGTAGAAATCCTCTCTGAGTTTCAAAGTGAAGTTTTTTGGTATTAGCTATTCCAGTGCTCCCTAGCTAGGCAATCACCATGTGATTACTTTTAAACCAAGTACACTGCTTTAATGATATGCAGTTTGGAAGGAGATTTTTCCCATCTTGTGTGCACTGTGGGGCTTTGTCACACAATCAGCCCCAGCTCCTCTTCTAGCGGTGGCAGTAATGGCAGGTGGAGCTCCGAAGGCTGTTGAAGGAGCAAGGAGGCACTGCACAGAGTGCTTGAAAGCTTTTTCTCTCCTTTGAGTTGCTCATGCCTGCAGGATATACCAAATGAATTGTAGGTCAGGGTTTTTAGAAGAGAGGAGAGTTTCTTTGTACAAATTATTTTGTGTGTACAGAGAAAGTCAGAAATGTATGTACCATGGTTACTTTCCTTTAAGCCGCAGACAAGTGCTTTTAGATGCATAGACAATAATTGCTTCTGGAAGGAGTAATTTAGATAATAATAATAATAATAATAATAATAATAAATAATTAATAATAATAATAATAATAATAATAAAAAGTTTGGAGTAGGGCATTGAAGAAAGTAGGCATAGCACATAGGTGCTGGCTCTTCTGTATTCAAAGACACAATTCAGGAGTCGCAACAGAAGTTGACTTGGCTGGGGATAGAAGAAGTGAAGTAGTTATTTAGGTGAAAATTGTAATTTACTGTAGCTATTTAAAAAAATGCATCCCGTACATGCTGTACAGAAGCATAGTTGCCTTTGGCAGCAGTCACAGCATTGGTGCTTCCAGCTGAGGCCTCTGCATTTCAGCAGTGTCGATTCACTAAGCACTGTCATTAGCATTCATCGTCTCTAAGCTGGGTCCTCTCTAAGCACAGTTAGAGCACTGTAAGAGAACCAGTAAATTCTCCTCTTACTTCCACTTTGCATCGCTAATTCCACTGAATGAAATTGTCCTTCCAATCTCCTGGTATATTATCTGTCAGCATGTTCCCATAGGTTAGAGTACAGCACAGTATATAAGTCCATATGCACAGCTGCTGCCTGTATGACTAGGTCTGCCTTCATTGTGAGAATTTTTGTATGGATTTCAGAAGAGAAAACAGGTTAGTAGGTAAATGAATGCAGCCAATAACTATCCTAGGATTTCATTTTCATTGAATGCTTGTTAGACATCTGTGGGTCTTTGCTGGATACTTAGGAATTTGCAGCTCCTTGGAAAATTTGACTGGATCATGGTTCCTTTATTTAGCTTGCTAGAAGGATGTTCTGCAGAGAAGAGGTGTCTTGACAGGTTTTTAATTAGGATAAAGAGAAGTTGAATAGTTGTGTTGTAATAAAGAGCAGGGGAGGGAAGGGTAGAAGGAAGGAAGGAAGGGAGCAAGGAAGGAAGCCAGCCAGCCAGCCAGCCAGCCAAGGAGCAAGCAGAGAAGGAGTTGTGCATATCCTCAAGGATGAAGGCATCAAGTTTAACCATGAAACAAAGGAGGAAAATAACTAAAATACTCTTTTAAAAGTTAAGAAGGTTATTATATTTACGTAAAATAACCTTAGCACCCTCACAGAAGTAGCTCGATTTAGCTTTCACCATGGAATCAAGGAGTGTGATTGACTCCTTGGATCATCTGCAAGTGTCTACAATGTCTTTGTCTACATCTGAGCCAATCACTCTCCTTTTTTAATCACTGGAGAGAATATTTTGGGCATGTTCACCTCCTTCTAAAGTGAACCTGTAAAACAGATTAGAAAAACCATATACTAAAAGTACCAGTTTCTCTTCATTAAGCATAGAAAGGAGACCACAGTGTGCAGGTTGTCTGTAGAATACTGCCTGAAAGATACTAAATCAGTTTGTCACTAAATGGGATGATGGATGCTCTATGTCATTTAATCTCTGCCTCAGTTCCTGCCTGCAAAACAGTTGAAATGCTCCATAATTTTCTCCCACGTTTATTTCAGTAGAAGACCTTGGAAGCAGAGAGTCTGCCTTACTAGCCAGTATCTGTCTCTCCAGTACCTAGCCGCACTCTCATTTGCTGTGCTGGGTATCACAGTGATACTCTTCACAGGAGCAGTGACCTGTGTGTGTACTTGAATTGTGTGTATCATATTTTTTTACACAATGAGAAGTCTGCAGATTGCTTTGCTTTATTTTGCTCAAGCAGCTTATCTATAGGCATGCAGTTCTAGATACAATAACTGAGTTATGGAAATGTAAAGGCTTGGCACATTTCCCACAGAGTCTTTGATTTCCTTTTTTTGCTCATCCTTCTGCTTTGACAGACAATGTTTGAAACATTATCATAACTTTTTTTCCATGGTGGTTGGGTTGGTTCCTGTCAGTAGAAGCACTGATTTACAAAGCCTCTGACTCCTTACTCCCATTTCTGTGAAATTACCTCAGTTGCTGTGGTGTAAATCTTTCTTCAGCGAGGCAAACCAGATTAGGGAGCTGTTGTAGTCTCAAAATAAGCCAGCAGAACCAATGGTTGCTAATCCACATCAGTTCCCTGGTACCATTCCCTGCATAGAGAAAACTGCTGGAGATGAGTGGAATGAAAATAAGCCTTAGGCTGTGAACAGGTACTACAATAATTCCTACCTGCAACAGCAGTGAGCTTTTTCATTAAAGCTCTGTTCCATTTTGCCAAATACACAAGGCTTCTGAAATGCCTGCCCATCTTCTTGGGGTCACAAGCTTTTTACTGCCACAGTATTCATGAAAATGTACATGTTCGTGTAACAGAGGCACAATGAGAGCACCCACAGGTTTATCAACTTCTTCCGAATATATCTATCTGAAAACAATGTACTTAACACATAGAAACTTTTCCTTTTGGCTCATTGTTCTAAGTCTCTCTCCCCAGATCCCACCCTCAGATTTTATGTACCTTTGACTTTGTAGCTTATGGTAGTGCACTCATTTTACAGTGGCCTTCAGAGATCCTTTGCGTGGAAGTTATTTTTACTGAATTAATTTCTTTTCTGTGTGATAGCTATAGTCAAAATATCCACTGTATTACATGCTTTTATTCATATACTCTCTGCTACTAAAAGATTAAGCTTTAATTTGTCTCAGCTCTTCATGTACCAATTGTGCCTCTCCTTGGGTGAGTTGTATGTACATTTTGGGGGGGATTAATGCCTCTGTGCTACCAATTACTTCAGTCTTCTGATGGTTTGCTGTAACAGGACAGACTTATCTACCTATAGCAAATGATGCCTTCCGCAAATATCGTATTCTAGAAAGTCAAGGTTTGTAACAAGAAGCAATATAATTTATTAGGTCAAGTCTGACATAGTCAGACAAAACCCCATAAAAGTTCTCAGGCACATAAACTCTTCTTCACATCTGAAATGGAAGCAACATACTTCAAGTGAAGTAGAGAAATTGGTCTCAGTTCAGTTTTATTACTGTTAATCACTGTGACTGTCTGAGAGAAAAGGATAGTTAACATCTATGAAGCTGAGGGAGCTGTTAGGAAAGAAAGGGGTGATAAGGTCAGTAGCCTCTACTGGGTAGAGAGAGAGGGACAGATTATTATCCCCTGTGGAGTCACAATAGTTAGCAGAAGAGAAACTGTGAAGAAAATTATATAATGTGAGATAAACTAGCCTTCTTACTGAGCTCTTGATTTTATGAATCAGAGCAGGATAATAAACTTTATATCCAGGCTCACTTCTGAAGGTTTATAGATACTACAAGTGACCACAACTGCTTTGAAATGGAGGAATGCTGACAAAAAAAGACTCTTGATTTTTAACGATGAGTCCTTTAAAAGTATGTAGGCTGACCTCTCTTGCCAGCATTGAGGCTCTATGAATGTCTATAAATGACTTCTTATGTAAAGGCATACTCACGTGCATGCTATGCTTGCCATAAAGACCCTACTGCCTGATTCATATCTCAAAAGAAAATAACAGAAGTCATTCAAAGCTGAAATTAGGGCAGGGAAGACAGAGCTTGCGGAAGGAGAGATTTTGTGCGGCTTGGTTACAGAATCTGGCGAATGATAGTAGCTTCATGTTTGTGGTCATGGAGCCATCCAGAAATATCAAGTCTGGAAAAGCAAGATGCCTTTCAAAAATTTACTCATCCAGAATGATTACTGAGAGCTTCTGCCTTTCCAAAGAGGTCAACATTTCCACAGAGACCTAAAACTAAAGGAAATTAGAATTGAAAGTTTTATTTGAATTCTATTTCACATGAGTATTGCTGTACAGATGCTCTTGAATCACTAAGAAATGTTTCATATGCAGTGTTTTTATGAAGCTTAAAACATTAGCATCTCAATGAACAACCATCTGTATCTTACCACAATGTCAATTTTTTTCTGTGCTGTTATTGCAGGTGATTATGTAGTCATGACTATATACTTCGACTTAAGTAGAAGAATGGGATACTTTACTATTCAAACATACATTCCCTGTATATTAACAGTTGTTCTTTCCTGGGTATCCTTTTGGATTAAAAAAGATGCCACACCAGCAAGAACAGCATTAGGTAAGTTGTTAATTCCCTTTTCTGCTCTCTTTTTGTAGTTGCTACACTATCATTTGAAAATGTCAGCTTCCTTTCAAAGAGACCACAAACCGTATGCTTTGGATTATTGCTACTACATCTTGCAGACCCAGATCTACTTATCACTGAAGCCTCTGGTTTTCTGCCTTGAACAGGGTAATTAAAAGTAAACTACCCTGACCTCTTGGAATGACATTACCACCTAGTTTGCATAATATTCTAGAATTAATGTTTGTCTCCTTGTTCTCAGTATGATATTTTAGTGACATTTTTGAGGAATAAATTAATTGCACTGTTGGCTTCCTTCCCTTCTGAAACTCTCCCCCACAAGGCATTATGTCTTATACATACAGAAAACTGTGGGATATAATAATATTAACTCATGCAAAGTGTTTTGGTTTGTGTGCTTGAAGTTAAGCTCCACACTAAACGTTTAGATATTTTTCATAAATTGTGGAGATTTATGCTGGTACAGGTTTTCCAGCAGCTCATTTATGTCAGGAGCAGCATGTGCATTTTGGCATTGTGCTTTAGGATATACTTAGAAATGCTGACCATTTATTCTTTTGTCTATAGGAAAACCTGCAGGTTTTGCTAGCATCAAGGGCATAGGGTTATATACCAGGCAATTACAGGTGTACATCAGAACTGAAGGAATAATAACATTTTAAGTCCAGACTGTGGTTGACAGGGCTGCCAATACTAACTGATTCAGTAATCTACCATTTTAGTAAAAAAGGGGAGGCTGTGTCAAGGCTTACATGTCTATTTTCAAGCGTGGAGATTACCATTCCCAGCTATTCACTGCTTCCCGCTGCTGGAGTTTGCTACCATCTCCAGCTAACCAGCTGAACTCTCTAAATCATTTCTGTTTGAAAGAACTAATTATTAAAAACTGACCTGCCTGACTTTTTGGACTGACATCAGACAGGAAGCATTCATAGGAGCAACTGAGTCCGCAGGTTTGAGAGGGTGATAATTCTGCAAGAAAAGACTAGAGGACAAGGGCTGTGAACAGGATACACCTCCTTGGAGGATACGTGAAGGCAGCCTGCATCAGGCATGGTGTTCTCGAGTGCTGCTGTGTGCTGACAAGCCTTCGTTCAACCACAATATAGGAGAGGCCCTCTGTACAAACCACCTCTGTCTCCCACTCCCCTAAACAGCTGACCAAGGGTACTCAGTACTTCTCATCCTTTTTCTTCCAAGCAACAAGTGTTTATCAGAAATGGTGGCTACTTATAGGTGAATCTATTTCTGTTAGCTCTCTTTCAAGCACTGTGTAGAGGTGCTCTACGTGATCTCAGGAGGAAGACATCTTGTTTGCAACACAGCCTCTATGCAGTTGTTCAAAATGACTTGTCCTGTTTCAGTCTGTCTCTCTCCTGCACTAATAAATCTGAGCAACCAACAATTTAGAGGGTGCTGTAGTTTCTAGAATAAAGGCCTTGAAGAGAAAATTTAAAATGAAGTGCTAAAGAGACTCTGAAGTCCATTCACTCTGAATGAGATTTTAGCTGCTATGTCTCTTGGACTTGTCCAGAAGTCTGTTCCCATTTTCAAAATCCTTCACCCATAGAAAAAACGGTCATCTATTCAGGGTGCACAAGACCTGGGTTACAAACATTTTTCCTCCCAAACTTTCTAATGTTTCAATAGCTTAGTAACTTTCAGCTTTATGACAGAAGAAATACATTACCAAAAATATCCGCTAAGTGTAACTCCCTCACTAGCCACAGCTTTGTTTAAGTAATGAAGCTATATACCAATCATTCCTGTTGTCAATCTTTGGGTATCTTCTTAGGGGGAGGTTGTATCAGCTTTAATTCTTAGTGAGTGGAGAGGGGCATCCTTTCAAACCAAGAGCAGCTCAGTGACATGGAGCTATGCAATAGGATCAGTAGAAAGAAAAGTCCCAGAGAACCTGTAATAAGACAACTGCAAGCAGCCAACACTGGTCACACCTTACAGATAATTTTGTATTGAAACCCATTTTGCATGAGGTCAGCACAAAACCATAACCTTCTGGATTTGCTCCAGGAGTTTGTAAATTTAACAAATATAGCACTTGTGACCATTGTAAGTCATGCGGCATCATGTAGGTCCAGTTTTCTGAGGTTATTTTCCAAGAAAGGAATATTCAGTCCTCACTCCCTTCATGTGAGTGCAAAAGTGCCTTTATATTGTGGTTCCAGCAATGTGATGGACCCTAAGACTTACAGTTATTCTGTGACCCCCTCTAAGTCCAGGACAGCATAAAGACAACACAAAGATGAGGACAGAGCAGCCATATGGCTGCTTGTTCCTGGCTGTGTAGACTTTCCTCTGGTGGACAGAATATTGAGAAATAGGCCTTTAGCATACTTCTTTGCTGAATTCCTTTCCTCTTAAATTGAGTGATGTGGAGAGGTGGAGATCAGGAAAGATTGACCATCCTTCACAATGCTTAAGAGAAAAGGGAGAAAAGGCATCTAAGAGTTTGCATTACTAATTTTCCAGAAGCAGTGTTCATACCCTGTCCCTGAGGGCTGTTCCCCACACCACACAGCTCCATTTTCCAATTAATTAGACACAGAAGTAGGTTAGATCACTAATCATAAGAGTGTGACTCTCCCTACCTCACCATCTCAGCCAGCGGGAACTTCAGAGAAAAAATTTATTCATATATTGAGGTCATGAATTCGAAGTAACACAAAAATGAGGTGTTCCAAAGCTATATTCGATGGCTATCACGACTAACTCCTAAAACTCTGATGAAGAATTAAATTACTGGGCTAAAATATAACTTTTTTCATAAAGTCAAAGTACAAGAAAATAATACATACATAGGTCACTTCTTTTTTGTGTACATAATCCGGTTACTCACAAATCATCAATGGCGTGTTGACTCTAGGGACGAAGCAAGCAGATGTTCCTAGTTCACTGTAGGTCTGCTTGTATAGGGCAGCTTATAAATCTGTCTGAGCAACAGCACACATCCACATTTGGATAGCAGCACATGATGACATTGTGAGTAATACAGCCAAAGGCAAACAGCTGAAATTGTCCTCCTAATTACTTGCAATGAATTGTAGACTCAGTGCACCAAACCTGCTCCGGGTATAGTTGCATTAATGTAAAGGGCTAGCATCAGGGAAATATTTCACTCTCTGAAATTAATGAGTAATTTGCTAAGCTATTGGCAACTACTCACAGTTACATAAAGGACAGGTTTTACCCCGTTCTGAATAACGCTAAGTAATAAGCTATTTCTGTACTGGAAAAAACCAAATGCAATCAGGGTATTTGGCTGTGAGGAAAAAAAAATGGGACCATAAGTATCCTTTCAGCAGCACTGTCCAGAGACATCAGTGATCTTTAAAAGCCTGGCATCATAGTCCCCGTTTCAAATGCACTTTGAGGGGCTGAGGCCCAGAGTGGCAATGTGACTCATTCCAGGCCACCTGAAGAGTCAGTAGGAAACTGGAAATAGAATTTGAGTGTTGGATGAGAGCTCTGCAGTGTGATCCCAAGTTATTCTGCCCCCCATTCAGAGAGAAAAGAAATGGCTCTTTGCTATTTCTGCTTGTCTCTAGTAATCAAAGTGATCTTCTCCCAATATTCACAGTCAAGAGCAGCCAGCAAGTGTCTGAAGAAAAGTTATGATCTGGAAAAGAATAGGTTGTTTTCCTTGAAGATGAAGGGAATTAAGTTAAACTGAAGCTTTCATCCCAGTTTCCCCCTGCTTTTTCAAAATTGGTATAATATGTAATAGGACTAGGCAGTTGCTACAGAGCAACTTCAAACTGCAGTTTAAAAAACACAGTGGGTATCAAGGCCAGCAATGTGTTGATGTAAAAGAAGATACAGATGATGTTTAATAAAAAAATGTTGCTGTCCTTGTTATTCCATCTTAAACTCATTCACTAGGAAAACAAGCAAATGATCAAAACGGGTGCCAGAACAAAAGGTGGAGAAATTAAGTTTATAAACAAGTGATAGCATGGTTAAAGGTAGTACACCATTCCTCCAGTGGCCCATCAACATACCCTTAGGAAAATAAAATAAAAATGAGCCTTGCTGACCAAAGAGTTTCTAACACTGAAGCTCCTGCTGCCTCACTTTGCTTACTGTTGTCCAGTAAGGAGCTCTCAAACAATAATAATTTTAAATAACTGTTTAGACCAATGATGTAAAGGTTAAAGTGTTCTCATGCATTATGTATCCTTGTATCATTTGATCTCCCAGACAGTCCTTTTTGATTTATCAAACAACATCTTCGGTATGGAATTTGCTCAGAGAATATAAATGTCACAAACCGGTATTTATATACAAACTTGTAAGCTCCCGCTTACAACTGTCTACCTGAAAATTTTGAAGCCAGGTTAATTCAAAGCTGTCCTTGGATGATATTAAAATTCTGTTGCAACAGACAGTTTGAGATCACTGTGAATTCAATAACAGATGCAAAGCTCACTTTACCATACGAGCCTTCCCAAAGTGAGAGACTTAACAATTTCATCTGGCAAGGTTTATTACATTTGAAAGCACTCAGCAAACTGAATTTTCTTAGCATGAGAGATAAAATGAGCTAAGGGTATAGAATCTAGATATTATCTTTGGAAATAATGGGTGCTGTATTTTATTCATATATGCATATCTGTATATTCCAACTTGTAAATGTACACAAATACAAAACTGTATCATCTGCTGCACTTTCTTTCTCTTTGCTCTCTGTATGTATCCCCATAAGACTCATTTTAATATTCTAAAACTTGTGTCTTGTCAAATGTTAAATTGAAACAGTGGGTAGAATTTTTATTGAAAAACTCCTTGCTTGTTTATGGTGTGAGCTGGGATCCAAGTGCAAGCCTCAGCTTAAATGAAGAATGATGCTTTTCTATTGTATTTCATATCATAAAAATATTTTGCATAAATAATAGAAGTAAAACTATGTATGTTTTACCTTTGGATGTTTCTGTCTATGTGCTCAGCAGTCTTGTCTCATGCTTTTGTCACAATTTGAAACGTGGCATATAGTCCAGAAACTGTGGTGGCTTGTGATAATGCTAAACTTTCCTTTCCCCAAGGTTTTATATTCTGGTAGCAAAATGTGTTTTGTTGTCAAAGAGACTGAGGATAGATACTATTAACATCTTAAAACCAAAATAAATCTTACAGCATTGCTGTGTCTATAAATTTGGTAGAACCTACTTTGTTTCAATCAGCTAAAATTAGTCTGGAGCTACCCGAAACTCCCAGATTCTGTATCAGTGAGGCATTTACAACATGATTTACTGAGCTGGTTTTACTTAGTTCTCACGTAGGTTTTCAGTCTCAGGCATGATTTGGGTAGGCATTTCACATTTAGGCTTAAGGAACAGATATAGGACTCAGGCTGAGTTGGGGACTTCTATACTTAAGTACAGAGGCTAATGCTAATTTTTCTTTCAATTCTCTGCCTTCCAGTCCGTGGTCACTTTGGCAGCTGGTCATCATTTCAGATACCTGCACAATACTTCTTGTCACAAATAATACAAAGTTATACATCGATTTCAGTAAAAATAGAGGACAAATAGTACATTGTCAACACAGCATTCAGTAGAAAAATTGCAGACCTTTGCAAAACATGTTTTTGAGCATTGCAAGCTTTCTTCTTTTATTTCTTTTTTGCCTTTTAATAAAAAAGTGTCCTAAAGTAATCGGAGATCCTATCACAGGATGAGTGGGAAATGAAAACTTCCCCTGAGTTCAAGTAAAAAGGACACTGTATATTGTGTTGGAAGAAGACTAAGGTTTTGAGGAATTTTCTTAAGGTAGTAAAATACCTGAGAGCAGGTGCATGTACATGTGGCTCTGAAAAGGACAGATTTGTGTTAGAAATCTAAGTGTGGATTAAAAAGTGTTAAAGACCTTAATTTCATATTGTAGAGTATGTCAAAATCTGGATGCAGTTCTTCTGAAGTTAGTGACTTCCAAGGCCTGAGTCACAGGCATACAGAAAGACTAATTAACCTATAGTTAGTAACGGCCAAATCAAGGGTAGTGAGTCAACACCTTTTGCAGTTGGACATCTGGGGAAATGGGCACAAACTGAAGCATAAGAGGTTTCAGTTGAATATGAAGAACTTCTTTACTGTGAGGGTGAGGGAACACTGGAACAGGCTGCCCAGGGGGGTTATGGAGTCTTCTTCTCTGGAGATATTCAAAGCCCGGCTGGATGAAGTCCTGTGTAGAATGCTCTAGGTGAATCTGCTTTAGCAGGGGGGTTGGACTAGATGATCTCCTGAGGTCCCTTCCAACCCGTGCCATTCTGTGATTCTGTGATTCTGTGATGCTGTGATCTTTGCAGTTGACTACTGTGATGAATGGCTAAGCATGCGGTTTGTCTCTGGAGCTTGTTCAAAGCAGCTAGCTACAGAACTGTCGTTGAAGGGTCTGGAGAAGTCAACTGGATCATGCCAGCCACGTGTGCTTATATTGGGATGTGGCACAGTTGACAGGAAACAGAAATATTTTCCCCATAGCTTTAGATGTCCAAGGTACATACAAAGCCCACATTTCACACTTCCTATCAGTACTGCTTTCATCTTGATTACTGGCTTTTGTTTTTTTTTGGACATTTTTTTTTTTTTTTTTTGTTTCTGGGTAGTGGATATTTAAGGAATACAATTAGTTATTATTCATTGTAAAAGAAGGTCTAGGCCCAGGTAATAATCTGCCTTCTGGCTCTTCCAGGGACTTTCTGACAGTTTGAATGGGGAGGTTATTCTTGTGAATTGCTGCAGTTTCCATCAAACACTACAAATCAGAGGCGGGCATTCCTTCATAAACAGAAAGGAGTTAAAAGTAATCCACAGATACTTCTTTCTCTCCAGAGTGCCATTTGTGGGAAGTAATTTTACTATAAGGCATAATTTCAGTCATTCCCTGCCATTTCAAACACTGCGTACCATTGCAAAATATCACTTTAACTATAAAAAGAAAGATCACCTTATGGTTATGTTGTTTTTAGAGCAGGTTCTCTCTTGAGGCTTATTTGAGTGAGAGCTTTATTTTTCTTCCCAAGCCATTGAGGAGTTTTATTTTTTCTTTCAGAAGGCTTGCAGTTCATAACAAATGATTAAAAGCATCAGTCCAAAATGGGAATGAAAAGACTTCTATTCCTCTGGAATGAAGAGAAATTATATGAATTATCAGCAGCCAAATAACTGACACCCCATAGATTTAATTCTAGAACTGGTTTTATTGTTTCAGGATATTTCATACTAAGTAATTCCCATTATATTCATTATTACTAAATCAACCTAAGATGTGATGCTTTGTATGAATTAAAAAGGCATTTTCCATTAAGATTACATCTGAAGCTTGTATAAGAGCCGGTTTTCCCTTACTCAGAAGGAAAATAGCAGTGGAGGACTCCCAAGGAAGCAGCAATGTGAAAACATATTGTCAAAATTCACGGTCAGAACTTTGCAGCAAAATTTCTTTTCTTTCTTGCCCTTTTTTCTTTTCTTTGAGCACAAGATTTTTCATGAGAGTAGTACTGCTGTGAAAAAGACTGTGGTTCCTTCACTGTTTTCTAGGTTTCTTATTTTTTATTTTTCTAGGTTTAGTGTCTTTTCTGCTTTACAGTTTTCTTCAAAAATTTCTTCATTCTCTCCTCCCTCAGTCCCATCTCCAACCTAACTGAGACCAGAAAAAGGAAGAGATGAGGAAAAGTATATTGAGCGGCATGGGAATGTCACTTTTGCAAAGTTGAATATAAACAGCTGAGGAAATCTTTGTTAACAAAATACCACTGGCTCTCCTGATGTTATTTTTCATTATTTTTTGTACTACTAAATGAAATGAATGAATTATTTGGGTAGTCTTTGGATTTCTGTTTTGTATGTTTGCTTCTAAAGAGTCTTCTGTGACATGGAGAAATGATGTTGCATACAATTAAGTCAAGTTTCTCTCTGCAGGCATCACCACAGTATTGACCATGACAACTTTGAGTACCATTGCGAGAAAGTCATTACCCCGTGTCTCCTATGTCACCGCTATGGATTTGTTTGTGACTGTATGCTTTCTATTTGTCTTTGCTGCTCTGATGGAGTATGCAACCCTCAACTACTACTCAAGTTGCAGGAAACCAAACTGTACTAAGAAGAAAAAGTCGGTAAGATGGGAGCATTTAATTTCTTTTCTAGCATGTGTCTGGCTGAGAGAGCAGAGAATCATTCAATGACTGCCTGTAAACCCATGATACTCCGCTCCTCTGAGCTCTTCTCAATTTGTGGTGTGATCTGCCCTGAAAAGTGATGGAAAATAGTTACCCACGGTAAGACCAGAAGCAATTATGTGCCTGTTGAGTGAGGTCTGTTCCTAAGAGAAGCAGCCTGCTGACCATGAAGCAGCAACCCTGCCTACATGCCTTTCACCCTCCAATTACTGTGTTGGTAGTCATAAAGGACTCCCACTGAAACAGATTGCATAGCTTGTTATATAAATATATGCACACCAATATATATTCAAATTCATCTGCTATTTCATGGCTTAACAGGTCGAGAAATATTTATGAACCTTACACACAGGATTTTGATGCCTCCACTGGGAACCAGGGGCTTTTTCCCAAGTACAAAAAGAGGGGAGGTCACTTACAAGGGTTTTTTACATGGCTGGTTGCATTTTTGGCCAAAAAGACACTTCCAGAAATAACATCCAGACACACACAAAAGCTGTTTATTCAGAATCAATTGAAACACTCATGCAGGAAGAATTGCCTGGTGTACTTCATAACTGACTACAGTAATGAGAGGGGGCACTCTAATGGAGAAAAAAATCTCAGTGTAAACATAGGGAAGGGGAAGTGGGCTGTCCACACAAGATCAGTGGAAAATTTTACATGTTTGCAATCGGTAGCTGGAGATGTTGGATGCCATTTTGTGCAGTGGAGGAAATAAGGACATTTGAAATCAGAAATACAAAGACAAACAGGAAAAATGTGAAGGAGGAAACTGAAGAGAGAAAAGGATAAATTCAGGGAATAATAGGTCACAAGGTAAAAAGGAATTAAAGAGATATAGAAAATAATCGAATGAAGGAATAATGAAGGAAAAGCTGAAACAAGTATGGAATTAGAGAAAGCCTAGAAAGCCATACACTTAGACAATGAAAACTCCATTAAACCTCTAATAGTGTCTTGTAAAAATGCATTGCACACAAAAGGCAAAAGAGTGTTACCAAAGGAAATCTATGAGACAATCAAAATGAACTTGCTAATGATCAAACTAAAATTGCCATCCTACAGAAAGACTGAATGAAAAAATCACGGTATCTTTGTGAGTAGGATGTATTTCCAGACATGTGTAAGAATATGAGGGAAAGCATGCAACATTCATGAGATTTAAGTTAACACAAGAACAAATGCTCATTTACCTATTGTTTGCTAAATAAATAAATGTAATGGGCTTAATAAAGATTTAAAGTGGATGGAAACTAGGTGTGCATTCTGCTGAGGTTTCATGCAGTTTTAAAGTGTACAGAATATTATGTTGAATATATAGAATGCTCAGCATGAAGTGTTTTATGGAAAAATGCATTTAAACTTTTGGTTTAAGAAATGCTATTGAACATTAGATGCATATGAAGCAATAAATATGTTTTCTTCTGAATAATTCTTTTGTTATCTTTATTTAAGCTACCTGATGTCAGTTTTGGTCATGTGATGGTAAGTAAACTATTTTATTCAGTGAGGGCAATGGAGGCATGAATTTTTGGTTGACATTTACTTGCAATAATTCCCAAGAAAGCTCTAACGCTATGTTATGGTTTACCCTGACTTCACTACAAATATTGTTTTGTTTTTTTGTTAAAAGGTCAGTTTGGTTTTGGCTGTGGCAGGGGAACATAGCTGCCTCTTTCTATAAGGACTTATCAAATGATTTGGGAGGGAGAAGGGTCAAGTGTAGGATATTGTGTTATTTTTACCTCAGAAATTTTGTGTGTCTGCTTTATATAATGCTGCAGTTTCTCATTACATTTTATAAAAGAGTAATAAGCATGAGTTATATCATAAACTTGTATGGAGTTTTAACTGACTTTCATAGAAAATAGTTCATTTATGCATTTATGCAAGCTTTCAGGTATATTTTCAAGTAATTTAGGCACACAAGTTTCACACAGTTAGTTGTACAATATCTACAAATGGAATAAAATATATCCCCCAAACCTCTAGATAACTATTTGTATACATACAGCGGTAATAAAGTTGAAACTGAGCACAAAAATGTATCTCTAAGTTGTATGAAATCTTAGACTGGAATACATACTATAAATATAAAGCATGCAGAAGGCCAGTTAATCAGCTGGCTGGCTGGCCTGCTTCCCACCTTTCAGATCCAAACAAGAACAGATACAGAATTTGGTTTGGATATGCTGAAGTTTATCAATTACAACTCCTAGCTCCGTGTTACTAGCTTGCCTTTTACAAACAATGTCATATACCTCTTTTTTTTTTTTTTTTTTTTTTTTTTTTTTACATGAGTTTTGTGACGTGTTTAAAGAGCTCATATGGCATTGAAAGTTTGCTCATTGACAGTGAATGGTTTACAGCAAGCATTGCGTTTATACACTCGCTACTGCTGTCACTCCTTGGACAGACTTTTATGAAAGCTGAAGTCAACAAGGCACATTGATGGGGTAGCGGCACTTTCCTTTTTCCAATTAAAAAAAAAAAAAGGGAGAAGATACACAATTAAAATGACAGTAGGGTTTAACACTCCTAGTGTTTGTCTAGATCTAGTCAGTGTGATCTGCTTGGAAAGGATCTGCAGCCTTTTCAAGTCTTTAACTCCCTCTTTCCTTTCTTCACTGTAAGACAGATATTGAGCAGGGCCTTGTTCTATACAAAAACAATCTCCATGTTCAAATTGTAGCATAAACTGAATAAAACAAGCAGTGTCTTTGACTCTCAAGATATCACCTTGTCTTTTCCAGCCTTGTAGTGATGCCACCTAAAAGGTGAAATGTATCAATCTTAGTAAATCCATGTCCAGGTAATTCCCACCCCCCTTGTTTTTCCTCGTAGAGAACACACTTATACCTTGCCTGAAATAATTTTATTAAGTGTGTTTAACACTGCATCTGAACTGCTTTGTCCAAGGCACCTGAGAAGTGCCTTGACAGAGCTCTCAGGAGGCACTGGGCTGGCACCCATTGTGCATGCACCCCTCTCCTCCCCAAACCAGCTCAGCAGGATGCACAGGACACAGTAGGCACCATCCACCTTCACCTGGTATCTAGTGACTTCAGGACCCCTCCTACCTGATGGAGATTAAAGCAACCAGATTATCAGGGCATCTGTCTGATCAGGGCATTTGTTTTATTTTCTGTCCTGAGCAGATAGTTGATACAACAAAACAACAACAAAAAAACCCAGGCTATTGATACATGAGAAAGTTTCCTTTACAGCATCAGGGCACTTATTTCTTTTCACTCACCAAAATTGTCTGTAGACATCTAAATCAGCCTGTTTTCTTCTTAACATATTGAAGCCAGGCATAGAAATTTTTCAAGAAATGAACGATATGTGACGCAGTGGCATAGCAGAATTCCATGTATTTAGTCATAGCTTTTTTTCTCTTCAAAGTGCTACAGTCAAAAAATGATTGCTTGTACAACAATCTTAGACCTTTTCCATGTGGCAGCACATTGTAAAGCTCTGATACCAACCACATGAAACTTTACAAATGAGAGAGACACCACGCAGGTGTAATTTGTGTCATCTGATCCCAGAGATAAAGTCATTCACAACAAATAGATTTGCATTAGTCTGCTTCTAAACTGCAAGTTGTTTACAGTCCACAGCACAATGCACCTGAGAGATTTTAGCCATCTACTTATGATGAGATGAATTGTGTCCTAGAAGTAATTGGCTGGATACCATAGGGCAGTTGTTCAGCTGGAGATGCAACACCTAAGCAGAGGGATGTCACATCAAGATCTTAGCTCAGGGACCAGCAATTTAATGAGACGAGTAATATTATCATGTACCAAATCAAAGGTTTTGTAGAAAGAAAACAAAGTCAATAGAAAGAGGAAAATTTCCCCTAAGGCACATCAAGCATATCACTGATCTGTTTCACACACAGACTGAAAGTTTTCAGATAGGTCTCAACACCTTCAACAGGAAATGTTGCATGTTTTGTATAGCAAGTGTGGAAGCAGGGGCCCGGAGCACCCTCCAGAATGCAAGCAGGCATGGCGCAGAGGCGTGGCTAGCTTGGTAGTCCATACCCGGCATGCTCCTGCAGGCAAAGGCAATGCTCAGAGCAACCACAGGGCCCACAAGGTGGAGAGAAACCATGCTGGCAGGGCTGGAGTCTGCTTTGTTGGGGCAGTGCAGACAGGCGGCAAAGATGATGGGACCTTTCCTAGTGATGCCAGTAGAGGAGGTGGCATTTGTGAGGATGGAACGGATGGCTTGATGAGATAGGAGGCTATTGTGAGAAAGCACCTTTCATGAAAAGGAAATGGTGTGACAGAAAATCTGACAAAGTGTAAATATTGAAGAAGGAGTTCTGTAGGTGCGAGTGGTACTGTGAGGATGCACAATATCAAAGTGCCCTATTTCTGAGCACAGTTAACATGATAGGCACTAAAGGGGACATGTCTAGGGATGGCATTTTGAAATCTTGTACTGAAATCATCAGTATCTGTTGCTGACCATATCTATTTTTATAAATCATGGCAAAGTTAAGAGGCAGTGAATGCAGCTATACTAAGTGGAGGTCATTCTGTCATTAAACAGGGAGGGGGGACATCTTCCTTATTTTTCAGAGCCATTCTTCAGTGTAGCAGCTGCAAATGTATAAAGCAAATTGCAAATAGTATTCTGACAGGCAAGTGAACTCCTAAGTATGAAAAAATGATTACTAGACAATATATGCCTGAGTTACCCAAGTAGAAAATACACCTAGAATTATTTAACTTGCTACTCCACAACTTCTCTATGGAAATTCATCTGAAAAAGCATCTTTTGAAGGAAAGAAAGGTGATCCCTGTTGTAGTTTAACCAAGCAGGCAGTTGCCTACTACACAGCTATTCACGCACTCCCCCCCTCCCCAGTGGGATGGGGAAGAGAATAAGGAAAAAGTAAAACCTGTGAGTTTTCATAAAGACAGTTTAATAAAGCAACAGAGGAAAATACTACTACTATTACTACTACTACTACTACTACTAATAATAATAATAATAATGGTATATACAAAGCAAGTGATACACGATGCAATTGCTCACCACCCACTGACCGATGCCCAGCCCATGCCCAAGCAGCAGTCGCTGCCCCCCGGCCAACCCCCACCCCTCAGTTTCCATACTGAGCATGGCATCGTATGGTCTGGAATAGCCCTTTGGCCAGTTGGGGTCAGCTGTCCTGGCTGTGCCCCCTCCCAGCTTCTTGTGCACCTGGGGAGTTGAAAAGTCCTTGACCTGTGTAAGCCCTGCTCAGCAACAACTGAAACATCAGTGAGTTATCAACATTCTTCTAGTACTAAATCCAAAACACAGTCCTATGCCAACTACTGGGAAGAAAATTAACTCTATCCCAGCCAAAACCAGGACAATCCCCAAATCTAGATTTCCTATAGTATCAACCTCTTATTCCCAGCTCCTGTGATTTTTTTTCCTCCAATTATTGTGATCTGTATCATCCATGGAAGTTTAACAAACTGTTGTTTTTTTCTTCTCTCCTCAGAATTATTCTGTACTTGATATGAGACCACCAACTACAGTCATCACATTGAACAATGCCATGTATTGGCAAGAATTTGAAGATGCGTGTGTCTATGAATGTCTGGATGGAAAAGACTGCCAGAGCTTTTTCTGTTGTTACGAAGAGTGTAAATCAGGCTCATGGAGGAGAGGACGGATTCACATAGACATCTTAGAACTGGACTCTTACTCTAGGGTCTTTTTTCCTACATCTTTCCTGCTGTTTAACCTGGTCTACTGGGTTGGATACCTCTATCTTTAAATGTTGCCTGTAGTGGTGAAGACTGCTGTGTTTTCACAGTGCGGAGGGATGGTGAAAGTGCAGAAAAAGTGAAGGACACGGTCAGTTTCATCTCAAATTATAAAGGCCACATTAACCTTCACCATCACAGAGCCTGATGAAGAATTTTAATATGTCATTGCCTGAAAAAGAAAAACATGGAAGAATTCTCTCCTTACTGCTATTTATTTTAAGGAAAAGATCCTTACAAAATTCAGCTGAATTTGTAGTGTAAGCGATGTTTATGAATAATTATTGTATATTAGAATCTTTACTATTCTCCCTTGGCATAGAAGCTATACACAATTCAGGCAAAAGTTAAATATGTCATTTTTGTTCTTCATTCCCATACTTTCTTCAAAATGCTGCCATATCCCTGAGGCTCAGAGCAACATACACTGGCACTGGCAAATAAGCCAAAGCCAATTAAACCACTCATTTGTATTTAAACTTGCTTGAGCTATGTCCCATAGGTTTTGGGAAATATTTCATTGGTGATCTGCTTGCAATAGAGAAACCACCAAAAGACAGTAAGAAATGTCTTTGGTGGGATCAAAACATGGACGTTACTTTCTGCAAAGGTCTGGGATTCATGGAATTAACCACTTACCTACACATATTGGTTTTAACTCAAGGTGAAAAGGCAGAGTTATAAGAAAGCTATTATTTTGATATAAATAAAAGACTTGCCTATCTCTGAGGCAGCTGTAGGTATAACTTCTACAGTTTTTTCAGCTTTTAACTGTCTTTTTTAATGACTGGTTAAACACAGGATGGTCATTGATTTCTGAAGTACTCTACCTGAAGCAGGACAAGATTCCTGCTTGTTTGTGTCATTGTAGCAGATCATAGTTGATAGGCCAAGAGTAAAAATCACTATATAATAGCACTAGGTGATGATATGTGACTTTCTTCAGATTGCAATCTACTAAAAAGTGCTCTCATGCATTCTTATTTTTTCTCTCAAAGTTATTTTACAAAATTGAAAAAACATGCGTGCCAAAGGACATTTTTTGTTCCTTCCATAAAGTTAAATACTGCAGTCCTTACTCATGGCAGTTGTTCCCTGGGTCTGAGCTGATGATTGAACACTTTTGACTTGAACAGTGCATTATGGGAACTCAGTTGTCACACTCGACATGTAAACATGAAATAGTTGCCACATGTGGAAAAAGATTGTTTTCATTTTTTTTCCTAAACTACCAACTATATTTTACCCTAAAAAGCTATTTTGTATTTTTCAAGCTTTTGACCACTAAATTGTTAAACTACCCATTTTTTTCAAGAGCTAGTTTTACAGTGATAAACTCAATTACGTCTTTTACAGATTGTCTCAATAATTGTTATTAAGCAAGCAAAACAGATTCAAAACTAAGTAGCAATGGCTTTTCACTACCCTTTGGATGACATGCTTACAAATGATTAAAGTTAAAACATACCTAAAAACAAAATTATACTTTTTCTCTCTTCTGGAGGACCTGATGATTTTTTTATTGTCTAAAAAATGTGTGTCTCTTCCACACAGTATTTGATAAAAAATGAATAGTGGATGTGATTGAAGAGCAGTTCCTTTTCTCCTCAGAGGAAAATCCTGTAAACAAGCAAGAACTAATGCAATGGTAATTCTAAAGGAAAAGAAATGCTGTCATGTTCTTTGAAACATCACTGTCTGTCATTGCTGTTTCTCTGTGCTTCCAGTGAGTTTTTAATTGAAAAATACCTAACAACACAAAAGTTAACTGTAGTTATACAAAATACTTTTTTTCTGTTTTTCACTTGTCTAAGATATCAGAGGCAGAGCTGGGTTTAGGTGGGAGAGGGGAATCATTTCTCTAAGGACTACAAAATTCAAATTAGAAGCACAGAGAACAAATATTTTGGGGCAGGATAAAAATGTTACTTTTAGCAAAATCTGCCCAACCTGATGTCTTCTAAACCAATTATAACCTTCTGATTTCAAAACACATGTTGAAGTTTTGCTAACTCTCAGTAGCAAATTACTCTGTAAAAGCTATTCCTCTGTAAATTTCTGTGTCCTGCACTTGGAAGTATGGATTTTATTTAAGGATGACAGTTATATTTTCAGCAGTGCAAAAACGTGATTGAAATGAAGTTGAATATGCTGGTGTCTAATTACAAATTAGTCCACTCTAACAGCCACCTTCAACCATATTTTGCAAGAATACTAGAAGTATTTCAAGCCTAAATAAAAGAATAGAAACAGGCTTTAGGGGGCTGATCCTGCAAACCCTCTGCACAATAAATTGATTTTGGTGGGAGTATTGAGACAGATGAGGCAGAAGGTACTTCAACTATTAGAGCTTGAGCAGGTAAAGTGAGGTTTATTTAGCAATTGCATGCTTGAGTGAATGTCTTGGAAGTAAGTATGGAAGTGGAACGTTCTCATTTTAGATGATGAGCATATACTTTTACACTTTTGCTCATGCCTACCCATTCCTGCTAAAAGCACACAACCCCATCAGATCCTTCCTGGGAAGACTGATTCTGCTAGGTCCATTCATATTGCCTCTGTTTTCTGAGTGCTTTCATAAACAGAAATTGGAAGCACATAATTCCACTTTTTTCCACAGTCCTAACCAAGAAAGAATCTCCATACACTACTGGTTTCTGCTCTTATACTGACAGAAGAGGACATATTCTACTGTGCAATATATTCTACTCTGCAGTTATGTACAAAAAATTGATTTGTTTGTGAGGTGAGCGGCCACAGGCTGGCAGGTTCCAGAATGCATTCCTCTGCTTATTCCTCCTAGTTGCATGGTTTACTCTTTCTGCTTCACTGCTCTGTGCTTTGGCAGCCACTGAAAAACCATAGACATCAGGGAAGATAAGCTTTCTAGGCTTTGCATCATTCAAAATACAATTATTCTAGTCACCTAGATAATGTGGTCTGCATATGTCTATGTGCCATATCCTTCTGTGGTAGTAAGAATAGCCTCATTAACTTCCAGATATTCTTTTGCTTCTTTTACAAATTGAGAAAAATCAACACTTCTGTGCACTGTCTCATGAGAAATGTAAAAACCACATTTCAGCATTTTAGAGTATTTTCTTATCAGATAATTTCATATACAATACTTGTATTTATTCAACTACTTCTTTTTGTTATTTAGTACTTCTTTTTACCCTTCCAAGGAAGGGAAGGGAATGGAGGAAGGCAAAACCAAATTACTAGTGAAATGAATACATTCGCATATGTATGTAAAACTAAAAATCAAATATCTTCATATTACTTTTCTTCCTTTTTGAATTTATAGAAAATACTGTGAAGGTTTGTTTAGATAACCAACTTTTCCCAGGAGGATCTAAAGTCAAACCTTTTATTCCCCCCCTTCAATTGAAAGTTGATGGACAGTGTTTTCCTGCATCGAGGGCAGCATTTTCAAGACAATTAAGAATGTATAAGAATACAGTTCTGATTAATTCAGTGTTCCCAGTTCTTCTGGCCCTGATGCCTAACATACTGACAGCTCCTTCTTTTACAGCCATTCTTCCAAGAATAAGTGTATAAAAACTTGCAGCCAGTTTATGCTGTCTCCATGTCCAGCAGTAATGTGAAACTGAAGTACGCCACATGCCACACAATTTTAACGTAACTTTCTAATCAAGTACAGCTGTAGATCAAAACACCTCAGGCACTTTGCTAACCTTTCTTCTCTTTCAGATGCTCACTTCCTTCTTCACCACCTCTCAAATATTTATGGCTATATTGTACATACCAATAAAAATGAGAAAAATTACAGCAGGAAGAATCAAAAAAGGCAGAACTGTCTTCAAAGAGACAGCTATGAATAGTGAAGATAAAAGAGGAGGAAGAAATTATTTGTTATTACTGTGTGGCTCTTATCTGTCCCACTGCTCTTATTCAATTCTTCCTACCAACTACCCACAGCTAATTCCAAATCATCCACCAGTCTGTTTGCACATTCATCAGCTGGAAGAGCAGTGACACATGAGCCTTTAGCTGATAGGAAATGATATTTCTGGAACTGGAGGCATCCTGCCAAATAACTCAGATAGATAGCTATCTCCAACACTTTTGCAGACCTAATGTGTCTCAGAGTCTAGCACCTCATGTTGCTGCATGAATTTATCACAACTCCCCTTACTTGGTCATTTCATGAAGGGCAGGATGCTTACCTCCTTTTTATACCAAATTTCACCATACATCTAGAAAAATGACTCTGTCCTGCCCATGCTCCAAGCAACCAGGTGCAAGACAGCTCTGGAAAGACCATCATTGCTCTACTGCTGAATTTGCGGGAAGGAAGACTCAGTACTTTAAGATAGATTGCATTAGCCTCACAATCTGGAGGGTACCTTCTAAGCTGTAAAACAAAGCGCCCAACTGCAACTTGTAAAGGCTGTCCATAACAGACTGTCCTTTTCCCATTGGCTGCCCTTTTTGGGTTTCCATAAAGCACTAAGAAAAGGCAAGCCATATCCCATAATGCTAGATGCCTAAATAATTAGATGGTGTTTTTCCAAGGTATATTCTACTTCTTGTTTACAGTGAAACCTTTGTGCCTCTTACATTAGTGTCTTTAGCATTTCTTGATATTGAAGGATACACTATTCCTGGCCTGAGAGTTAGAAAGAGGGACAATGACCTTGCTGGAGTTCTTCCTGAGCACCACAGTGTGTGACCAATATTCTAGATGTCTTCAACCTACACATTGAGCATTTTTCTGATTTTTCTGTATTTTTTAAGAAGTCTGTAGGTTTCTCAATTCCTAAGTAACAAGAAAACTGCAGTGGGATTTCAGCAGTTTAGCAGAATCCTTCCTTCTTCACTCAGCAACTTCATTCCACCAAGAGATGCAGAGCATAAACTCAAGGCTGACGTTTACCTCATTCAGGTCATTTCCCAGAAGACTGTTTAAAATAGGCAAAAACCAAACTATGCATTGGGAATGCATTTCCACAGCTGAAGGGTGAGGTTCTTTTTCCTTTAGAGCTTT